GTTCTGAGTCCTGGTCTGTAGAAAATTTGCGGAAGTTTTTATGTACAAATTCATTTGACAGAAGTAAAATTCGCGATAAGGGACGGAATCTATGCCTTGCCTCTCCCTGCTTATATCCTTGACCGGCTACTGGGTATTTATGCCAATTGCATGTGGAACCTGGATGCCATAGAAGTAAAAGATTTACTAGGGTTTTTATGTAAAAGAACGTTCACATTTGACACGAGTAAACGTCACGATAATGGACTTATTCTGTGCCTCGCTTCTATCTGTTTATATCTCAGAACAATGCGTATTTTAGCCAATCGTGTTCTTTTTATAGGTTTATAAAACGTGAAGGTGCTGTCCTTGTTCTTCTTTAGACAAAAGGTTTACTGTACGTTTTTACGTTTCAACGTAAAAAGACATACTCATTTGACAAAGATGAAAATAAAATAGACTAAATCTGTGCTTCGCCCTTCTTATATCCCTGACCACCACTGAGGGTATGTAGATGTAAACATTTATAAGCTAATCATTTCTAATATTACAGTTCGGACTTCATCATACTGGTTAACCTTCGTTTACCAGACGAAGCGACATTTTCCTGTATTTAGTGGTTGGTCTATAAGTTTTTTGTCAACCCTTTTATAAAATGTGAAGGGATCATTTCCTTCCTTAGATCTATAGGCAGAATATTTGCTGTATGTTTTTACATTTCTACGTAAAATGGCATTCATATTTGACAGAGAAAATGTACGTATAAATGGTTAGTAAACTAATCTTTCTAACATTGAAGTTTGGTCGACTGACATTATGATTGATGTCATAATAATTTACCTATTACTGCTGGCTTTGACTTAATGTAAATTTTTTCAAGTTTTTTGCAATCGTATTTTTTTATAAATTTGTAAAACGTGAATTTGCTGGATCCTTGTTCAAAAAGCAGAAGGTTTACTGTTTTTTAAAAAAAAATTTTTATGTTACTTCGTAAAAGGAGGTTCACATTTGACAAAGATGAAATCCGCGTAAATGGACTGATTCTGTGCCTTGCCACCCCCATCTTATATCCTTTACCAACCACTTAAGATATATAGATGTAAAAACGTATAAGCTAATCACTTCTAATATTGTAAGTATGTCTATTTTCGCTGGTTTTTGACTAACAGAAGTTCTTCCTTTCTCTTCTTTCTCTGTATTCAATTGTTTCTGTTTTTCTAGTTTTCCCATCGATCATTCCTTTTATAAGTTATAAGAAGGGAGGGATCTTCCAGTTCAATCAGTAGGAAAATTATTTGTTGATCCAACATCTAATAACGCTTTTACAAAGTTTTGTAAAATTATTAATAAGAAACAATTGACGTAATAACATGCAGATTATTACAGATTGTTCACTGGAGTTTCTAAATTCCTCGTCAACCCGGGGAAACTGTTTTAATTATATTATTACAGGACTCAGTCACGAATCACAAAAGATGTATTTTTTATAAACTTTTCGGGGGGGAAAAAAGAGAAATTAAGAATCATCTCGTTCTTTCATATGTTATGAAATGAGGTGTCTGACTCTAGTACTGTTTGGTTTTACTGTGGTATCTACTTCTAAAACCAATTTAAGGACTTACTTGGAAACCTCATAATAATTATAACTACATAATAAAAATTATAAAACAACATTACGGAAAAAAATAACACCAGAAATAGGCAAAGTGTCTAAAGAAATTTGACAGACATACCCAGCGTTAACAGAAAAACCAGAATGAAGATATTTTCGTGATTTTAATAATTAAACTGTATAATAGCATACTTCATCCTTATTAAGGTGTATATTTTCATTCTTTTTTGATATTACCTCATAAAATTTTAACAAAGCAATTATTCACTTGATTGAATTGATAAGAATAATAATTCACTTTGATAAGAATAATATTAAGACTAGATATATTTATAAATATGTGCTTATATTGAAGAGTAGAGAAGCATGAAAAAATACAACATATTTATTTTATAAACATCATGCAATTAAGAACAGGAATGTTCTTTTTTGTGATTTTAACCATTAAATTTAAATAGTTTTTTAGCAAATTACATTATTAATTTGCGTTTATTGTTAATAGCATCTTAACAAATTTTAACGAGCAATTTTGTGCTTCATTTGCAATTAAAGTGTCGATGTGAAAAGTTACAAAAACAATATTTAGGTGTGAAAGGAGAGATTTTAACGGGTGGGTAAGAAGCCTGATTTTTAAAATTAATTACAGATTCTCTTTCTCCATCTATCTATTTCTCTCTCTCTCTATCTATCTACCTACCTATCCATCTATCTATCGATCGATCTATGTGTTTATATATCTAGCTATTTATCTATCTATTTATCTCTATCTCTCACTTCTGTATTCTCTCTTTCTGTCAATATCTCACTTCTGTCTTCTGTCTTTCTCTCTCTCTCTCTCTCTCTCTCTCTCTCTCTCTCTCTCTCTCTCTCCCTCTCTCTCTCTCTATCTATCTATCTACCTACCTATCCATCTATCTATCGATCGATCTATTTGTTTATATATCTAGCTATTTATCTATCTATTTATCTCTATCTCTCATTTCTGTATTCTCTCTTTCTGTCTATATCTCACTTCTGTCTTCTGTCTCTCTCTCTCTCTCTCTCTCTCTCTCTCTCTCTCCCTCCCTCTCTCTCTCTATATCTAGCTATTTATCTATCTATTTATCTCTATCTCTCATTTCTGTATTCTCTCTTTCTGTCTATATCTCACTTCTGTCTTCTGTCTTTCTCTCTCTCTCTCTCTCTCTCTCTCTCTCTCTCCCTCCCTCTCTCTCTCTCTATCTATCTATCTATTTATCAATCTATCTATCAATATATTTATCTATATATCTAGCTATTTATCTTTATCTCTTACTTCTGTCTTCTCTCTTTCTCTCTCTATCTCTATCTATCTATTTATCAATCTATCTGTCAATCTTTTTATCTATATATCTAGCTATTTATCTCTATCTCTTACTTTTGTCTTCTCTCTCTCTCTCTCTCTCTCTCTCTCTCTCTCTCTCTCGCTCTCTCTCTCTCTCTCTCTCTCTACTCTCTACTCTCTTTTCTTTCCTTCTCTCATTGTGAATGTCTATGTGCAAATACAATTATTTGTCAAATAGCATATAACATCATTAGCAAAACATTTTGGAACACTTTAAGATTGTGCTAGTTCATGTTAATATAATGTAGGTTGTATGAGTCTGTATTATCTTCTTTTCATATAACTGAATCATTTTGTGTATACGTATATGTATTTAAATAGTTTATGTAGAAACGAGTTCATTATCTCTTAATCTCATTAGAGTTGATTCTTCGGAAGGTCTCGATTTACTTGTTTAACACGATATTGTCAATGCCCAAATTGAAAACAAACGCTGGGAAACAATGGGAAACAGCTTAAATGTCAAAAAAATTCCAGTTTGTTTACTGCCGTTGTCACAGCGCCGGTCGAATAAGGGCTTCTAAAGAGAGAACAACAAAATCGCCTCCTCGGGTTGCACGTGATTAACAATCCTCGCTGTTATCACAAAACCGGACCGAGAAAAAAAAATTAAATAAAATAAACGGCTCAAATTTCAATTTTATCAAATTGCATTGTCTCGATCTTCAATGTCAGAGACGTGCAACCGAGGGGCTAAATGCCATGGATCATAAAACGTAGATGTAGGGCGACGGAACGCTAGTTATTATACGGGCGGGCCTTTCTCTCTAATGTACAGTTTTATTTTTTTTAACCCTTGTAAGACCTATCCTGTGGTCTTTGTTATATTTATTTTGTACCGTTCAACCTCACAAAAAATCAAGATTAAATTTTTTAAAAATTTTAATATTATAATGGCTAAAAAGATACAATGAACTAGGCCTTACTCGTTTTATTGTTATTTATCTATCGATAGATAAAAATTTATTTATATAGCTTGTAAATGCGAGTGAATCTACATATTTAAACGCTCATAAATAAAATTTCAGTTGAATACATTTTGTCTAGCGCATTAAGAAACATACTGACATTATAAGTAATAGCATATTTTTTATGAAACTTAATAGGAATAATAGTAATAAGATATTTAATCGTAAATAATAAAAATGAACAAAATCGGTACGATTTTAATATATGTTTATATTCGTTCTACTAAGGCAGTCGGCCGCCAAAGGATCAGCGGATCAGCGAGCCGATACGAGGTCCTTCCTCCCCTAGGTGATGCACGCTACTAGCTTACTCAGAAGTGTTTTAACATAAAAAACTGTTCCTATTAAAATTTATTTTAAATAATAAAATTAGGCACAATTTACTAATTAAAAGTTTTAAAAAAATTCATTGGTAAAATTTTTATGAAAATAGTTCGAGACAAGATTTTTCCGTTGGAAGGTAAATATCAGTTTTGGATCTGGAAAATTTTTATGGTTTAAATTGTCGTAGGTGATTATTTTTTCTTTATGTTTTGCTATTGCTCTGTTGACAATATCGAGATGATTTTTTTTTAAAAAGGAAAATTTAACATTACTCCAGATTCTTTGCCTTGTGCCATTCACACAGACGACAATTACTCACAATTACACAGAAGACAAATACTTTGAGTGAGTAGAAATACTTTGATTGAATATAAAAAATATATTTTGCATTGTATAAATTCACTTTTCCACATCCCAAATGTATTTGTTAAATGTAAACAATGTTTGTTAATCCCAGGCCCTGAAGATGATCTCAATAAAGATCGAAACGTTGGCACGATCAAATGTTTTTCTGAAACCTACATCACACCAGACCGCATCTCACGATTTCTGAATAATTATCGATGGTCACTAATCACAACGCATTATTAATTAATGTTTAAGGCGCGTAATTTTTTTTCAACACGTCTCAATTGTTTATAATCCATGTCAAATTTTCATAATTAAATTAGAAAATTTGTCAAAAATCTTATCCCTAAAATTACAAATAAAATGTCTGGGTATGACAAAAAAAAAATTAAAAAAGTGGACTCACGTTCAGATAAGGGTTGTTGGCGAGGTAGGGGCTGTTGTGAAGATGGTAACGCCGCTCCATGCTAACATGACTGAAACCAGATCGGTACTGAAAACTGAACTGTTGTACCTCCTGAACTTGAACCTGAGAAGTCGAGAAGAGGGAAGGACTAACCGTAAAAGGACGGCACCGCCGAGAGAGTCCGATTTATCCCGACCGTCTCGTTCCGACCGGGACGGTAATAAATTTCTTTTTAATACCCGTTATTAGTTTATCAATTTCCTTATTACCATAATCTACTTGGAAGTGTTGATAGGCCAGCTATTTAATTTTATAGCCTAATAAAAAAAAATCACTGTGCATATAAATATTACAGATATGAACGTATCTTTGAAATTTAACTGCCACCACGCCCTGAAATCTGGTCGATTATAAGAGTTAACATGTAGAGAAACAAGTAATAGCACTAAATAATATACATATAAAATTTTATAAGTTTTTATTATTATATTTAAACTAGATATACATGGTTTGAAACATGTATCAATGTTGTTCAACACTTCAATCAACTTCTTCCTCAAAATGGCGCAATTGTGGTCAAAACCATAATACAATTAATTTGCATAATCATTTAAATATTAGAATATCTGTCAAAAATCTTGAATGTACATCTTTTCCTTGTATTATCTTTTTTATTTAAAAAATAAATGATGATAATTATGAGGAGATTATTAGGAAATGGGGATTTCATATCTCTAAGCATGGCAGCCTTCTATTTATAAAACAAATAAAGTTATTTATTATTCTACGTTTACCATCAAGAGAAAACTGGACTACAGCTACTTTCATCGATGAAACCACAGCTCTGTCAGAGGGAAAAGTATTCAAGCATCAACAAAAAAAAAAAACTGTAAAATACAAACAACCAGAACCAGCCATAAACTCATAATTGTCATAAAATTTCAAAGTAAAATAAATCAGAATAATTCTGTACACAATAGTTTTACAAAAAGGAAAATCAGTCAGTGCAACCAACAGAAAGAGAAAAAATAGTACTGACACAAAACACAGTGAGGTATGATGCTAACTTGTAAACTGAAATGGTGAGTGTACATAAAAAATTGAAAAAATGGATAGATAGATAGAGATAGGTAGATAGATAGATAGGTAGATAGATAGATAGATAGATAGACAGATAGAGATAGATAGATAGATAGACAGATAGAGATAGATAGATAGATAGACAGATAGAGATAGATAGATAGATAGAGATAGGTAGATAGATAAATAGATCGCTAAATAGATAGATTGATAGAGATAGATAGATAGGTAGATAGGTAGATAGGTAGATAGATAGATAGATAGAAAGATAGAGATAGATAGATAGACAGATAGAGCTAGATAGATAGATAGATAGATAGATNAGAGAGAAAGAGAGAGAGAGAGAGAAAGAGAGAGAGAGCGGGAGAGAGAGAGAAAGAGATGGATAGAAAGAGTGTAGACAACAGGATTGACTTTGAGGAAGAAACTCCCATTTTGTTACATACTCCCATATTCATCAGGACCTAAGGGTACCGTTCATCTTTACCAAGGTCACGTGATAAGACCAAAAATCATGCTTTCAAGAACATCCAAACATCGTAGCAGTAGCAAGAACACTGTGAGATGACTGAAGAAGACAAAACCTTACAAACTTGCTTCCTAGATTTCAGTTTGAACTCTTTAAAAGACTAATAAGGACTAATAATAGGAAAAATAATTTTTAAAAAAATGAACAGTTGTGTCAGTAAAATTAATAGCTGGACAAATCTGTCTAGTTTTCTTTAATAAATTGATTAATAACTAACAAAACCATGTTCATTAGATGAATATAAATTATAGAGTTTAATTGATAAGAAATAAAGATATGAAAAAACACCCAAGACAGGACCAAAAGTTTGAAATTTAAAAACGCATTAATGAAACCACAAAATATACATTTTTATTTTAGATTATACACGTTGTCCAAAACTGAAACTAGTAAAAATAAAATACCTTTCCATTTTATAGTAGTAATGCAAAAATTAAAGATAATTAAAGTAATTTAAAAAAATAATCTGGAAATAAAATTACTTTGAATGCTAATGGCACAGAATGCTGAAACAACTTTTTTTCTCACCTTCAAGTAGGCATGTAAGTAATGATTACAAAAAAAATATATAAAAAATGTGATAGAAGTTAAGTATTGTTTCTTTTACAGATTTTTTTTATACCTACTTTCTTTTAATTGTGATTTATGTTGTTTCATACCTTGGTACCTTGCCTATAAATGGTTAATGAATAAATAGTCATTGATAATTTTGGATTTTGATTTAATTATGATATACCATTGAATATGAAGAAAAGAGTTATAAATTATTGTAGAATTGTACAAAATAAAACCAAATTATAGTGATGAATAGCATAAACTGACAAGAAATTCAACAATTGTTCTATTTAAAATATTATTTTCTTTTGCAACAACTCGTGAACTCATCGATGATATAGTTTTCATTCCTTAACACTGAAACAAAAAATAAGTAAAAAGTGCAGTGGTCCAGGCATCTGAAAGCTTTGCAAATGGTTCTGGGTTTGAATCCTCGCAGCGTTCATGGCTTTTTAATTGATAATAGTATAAAAAATGTATATTTAAGGTGATTTGACCCCTCGCCAATAACACCCAACAGGTCGTTAAGCCCTCCTGTATGACAGGAATTACTTAAGTATATACAATGTTTATACATTTCAAAGAGATTTATCAGGATGAGAAAATATGAAAAAATTCTACTTTGTTATAAAACACCATTGTAAAATATTTATTTATTTTAAATAAAACAATGAACATTCATATAAAACTTGTTATATTTACAATTAACTTTGTACAAATCGAGAACGGATAATCCTCCCCACAGTGGGTCTATAAATTGTAATTTTAAACCCAAAAGTGGTTTCGTTCCATAGAATCACAGGTACATGTCGTGTGGAATGATTTGGTGCAGTCACGCAGGCCGGGTGTGCACAGCACGTAAGATTCTTTCTATACGCCTACTCGTCCTACCCGACCGGAGGAACAGAGCCGCATCCTCCTCGTCCGGCTCATCGTGCAGGTAGGTCCACTTGGCGTAGTAAATCGCAGCGAAAGTGGAGTAAAACAGAATTGCGATTGTCACCATCTATGGATTACAATTAATTTAAGAGGATTAATTTTTCCTTGTTTGAAATATATTAAATTTGATAATAAAAACCTGAAAGACTGCCCAAAATTTGAACGAGCCCTCATTTATAATGAAATCGTAATATGCAGCTGAGTTTGGATACTGCCTTTTTTCCCTTATTATAAGATCTCTGTAAACAAAAATTTTCCATGTTAGCCAACATTTTTCATAATTAAGTCATAAGCTAAATACAACAAGTATCATGCTATATGTGACATATTTAGCGCTTTATTGTTTATAGTTTATATCACTCTTTAAAATTATTAATTAAACAGTATAATTAATGATATCATTCTCTTTAAAAAGTGTTTTAAATATGGAATTAATCAATGTATATGATGTGAAGCTTAAGATTTACACTAAAAAATTTTTGGTAAGACCAAATTTACAACTGTGTCATTTGTGGTATATGTAGTACTTCGTTGTTTACTTAGTATCTTTAAGCATACAATTATAGCATTAATTGATAATGAAACTGATTTAAATATGAAGTTAATTAATGGTTATGCAGGGTGATAATAATGAAATAGAACAAATTATACTAAAACCTTTTCAACAAGTTAAAATCTTAAATGATACTTGAAATATCTTAGAAGACAAAACCTGAAAAAACCCACATGTACAACAAATAATAATTGCCCCAATTATTTCCTAAATAAAAATATTTCATTAAATACTGGAGACTGTCTTAAATGGTAATGTTCACACAATTAAAAACTGCAAATGGAACGAACCTTGTATGTACGGTGTCAACTCCAACACTGTCCACTTTCTCCTTTTTACTTTTATCATCCACAATTGCCAAACGGCATGAACACATTTTAAGAACGACGATAAAAAACAATAAATACAAATAGAAACTTTTAGCCATCTTCCGCTAGTCCATCCTTGTCAACTCGCTTGATCGAGCAACAAGGAAGCTCGTATTCCGTGATTGCTTAAACTACTAATTTTCCTTCTTACAGTCGGTCAGAGAGAATTGAAATCAAGGCGAGTGAGTTCTAGACTCAGGAAAACTCAAATTAAATTAACATTGTAAATGGGTCCCTTCTGTTTACTCGGGAGATAACTGTTCACTTAATTTTGAAACTTTGTCTCCTGTGACAAATTGTCTTCCTTTTCTGCTATGAGCACTCTTGTATTAAAATTGTAGTTAAAGTTGTTTTTAATGTTTAGTTTATAATTTATATTATAACAATTTGTTATAAAATGGTGATTAAAAAGAAAGTGTTAATAATGTTGGTGTCAGTTTATCTGACAGAGTTTCTTCATCTATTACAGTGAAAATTGACTTAAGGATTGAAATATACTATATAAATTATGTTGGTCAAGCGACAAATATTTGGACTGAAAATAAATATCATTCTACTCCTTTTATGCTGTAAATCTTCAAGGTAATGTCAGATTTATGTTGGTTTTGTTTTACAAGTAAACTTCTTATGAAAGAAATATAATCAAAGAATATTATAGAATTTATAAAATATAGACTGTTGTTAAAATTAATATAGAATTTTTGTATTTAAAAATGATTTATTGATAAATTTACTTTTAAGAGCAACAAACAGAATCAAAAATGTAAAAAAAAAGGTTAATTTATTTATAGCCATGAAGTAATCATCACAAGTTTTAAAAAATTATAGCGTATACATAATGTCATAATTTTGACATGATTGTGAGATGAGCAGTAATAATCTCATAGTGACAGTAATAAAAATGAATAGATATAATGTAAATAATATAATTCCATTTATGATTTTATTATTTATGCCTAACGATTTCCTGTGTTATATTCCAGATCATACAGAAACTCTGGAAGCGTCCAATACAATACAAAAAATAGAGGTCAACCGTATCAAGTTTATGGCATTAACAGTAGATACCACCCTCAAACTTTTCATAACATCCCTCACAATGTAAGGATTAAAAATGTATGTATTTTAATAAATTACATTCATTTAAAAAATTTCTTTGCCAGTTAAAACCTGAGGGGAGTCAACAAGTGGAATTTCATACGCAGAATTTTCACAATATACCACAAGAGGTATGAAATTATTAAAATAATATGTTAAATAACATATTTGTTCTTTTTTTAAGTTTTTCATTAATTCAGTTGGCGTCTGAAGGCGACACACAACAAATTGAATACGCGTATCAGGGCGGAGAAAGCCATGAAGGTGAGGTGATCAACATGAGTGAAGATCAAGACGCTCATTACCAATCTCCTGAAACCGATTATCAAGTGAACAACTATCAGCCTCAGGAATCGTATTCGTTACCATCGCACCCGGGCTATTACGGATATCACTACCGCCCGCCGATACCGCCGACCCCACACCCCTTGCTACCACACAAGAGCAAGCAACAGTCAGCACCTTACACCTATTATTACATCGGGCGGCACCTCTGGTATATCCCGCTCTATTTCAGCATTTATTTTATCGTTTATGTCGGCTTGCTTGTTTTGAAATCGATCGCAAGGCACAAAGTTCTGTTCCCGGAGAATCTCCAAGCTGCCGCTGCAGCTTCGACAATGAGAGATTTGCATGTACTCAGATCGATAGATCAAGCTCAAAAACGATACCTCATGAAGTGATTATTTTCTAATCAAATTCATTATTTTGAAAACATTTCATTTGGAAAAAGTTAAATCTAGTTGAGTGTGTGATCGACAAAACAATAAATAAGGAATAAAAATAAATACAATAAACTTGCCTAAATATAATTTATTTAAAATTATTATATTTATTCTTTAAAAAAAGGAACAATGTTTATACATTGGAACCAAATTAAAAATAGTCTGCCTAAAACATACAGCCAAGGCAATAAGTTTGTACATTAATTTCAGTTTATAAATTTCACTTTTGTACTTACATACAGATTCTCTACATTTGTTACAAACACACAAATGAAAAATAAGTAAATTATTATTATTTTATTTTCACATGATTAGAAGAAACAGCTAATGTAACAACTACATTGATGATAAGTAAAATCCAACAAGAACAATTACAGACATTTACATACAAGATTTGATTCGTCTAATAATTTTTCCTAAAATTAATCAAATTAATCACAGTCAGGCCACTGAGGGTTACATGATCATGAAACTTCTAAAATGTACATTTTTGATCGTGAGAGTATTTACAGGCAAGACATAAATGTCAAATTAAAATTATATATGTAACGATATTGTTGTATTACCTATTTTCCAAAACTGTATTAATTTTTTCTTCACTTGTTTCAAATCCTTTGTTTATCTTACCGTTTTCAACATCGACATTCTTATTACTATTTTTGTTTGGAATATTGTTTCTGATGTCGTTGCTATTGAGGTTGTTTGAAACAGCACTCATCGAAACAGTTTCATCGCCGTTTTTCTTTTGATTCGTGTTGTTGTTTTTGTTATCTTTATTGGGCTCTTTTTCCTGTTGTGCTTCCTGCTCCTTTGCCTAATGTAAAAAAAAATATTGTACATAATAAAATGTTTTTTTGATTTTAGACTAAAATTGGAAAATATATTTACCCTTTTTTCCTTTGCCTCGTCCGAGTGATGAGAAATAAAGAAATGATTGAACAAAAAGTAAATACAGCCAGTGATGAGTGTGACAGCTGAAAAAATTTGGTACGTCGGCCTTGTGCCTACTCCTTCCATTAAGTACCCTCCAATCAAACTTCCAGCACCTTTACCTTTTGAAATAAAATTTTATGATTCAATAAACAAAAACATATATTCTTGAACAAAACAAAAATATTCTCTTGTCCAAAAGACAACATAGAAAAATTGTAAAAAAAAATCATTAGGTTGCTTATACAATTTATTTTATTACTATTGGTAATTTATTTTAAAATACATACCAACACCAAAATAAAGTCCGCCTAGAAGTCCCTGGATGCTTGAATCGGTCGTCATAGTTGATAATTTAGCCGCATATGTTACAGCAGCCGTGAATGCCAGTGAAGAGGTGACAGACTCCATAGCTTCAAAGATTAAACACATCCAGGGATTGTATATCAAAGAGTAGCCTAATCAATGGAAAATATTTTAATAAAAGCTCAGAAATTTAATTTAGCTCTACACATTGTCATACCAAGAAGTCTAATCGCATAAAAAATAAATCCAATAAATAAAACATTCGCATGGCCAATTTTATCAATAATCGGTCCTGACATTACCAGCAGAGGCAATCCAGCGATTCCTCCGACTGTTATTGTAATTCCCATCAGAGATCTAGAGGCGCCAAGGTCTTGCAACAACCAGAATAAAAAACTTTCTATGTAACCCCATGCAGTCCCTAAAATTATTCATTCGTTGTTTCAAAAATACACTAATTTTTAATAAATAATGAAATACCTAAAATAAAACAAGTAATGAAGAGTGCTACAATTTCAACTTTCTTTAATACAATCAGTACATCAGCTAGAACATTTGTAGCTGGTGATTTGAACTGTAGATTGATTGTCATCATGAGAAGAGCGCTAACAATTTTCATAGCTGCGTACAGGTAAAACGCTGGACTGGTATACAAAAAAATTAGTGTCAGGATGACCAAAAAAAAAAAAAAAAAAAAAAAAAAAAGATGAACTTACGTAAAGTCAGTGTACAACTTGTCACTACTTGCAGTATCAATAAGCCAGCCTGAAAGCGGAGAGCTTATCATTCCTCCAATTGTTGCGTAAATTCTTTGCAAACCATAATCTGCTTTATGCTCTCTTAATATGGCAATGACAGCTCCTGATAAATTTGTGAAAAAGTTTTAGGATTTATTTATTTTAAGTTTTGTTATTGGTAATAATTTACCTTCAAACATGGCAAAAGCAGTTCCACTGATCATACCGATGAAAACCCTTATTGTGAGGTACAACCAGAATGTGAGTTTTGTGTCATATTCCACCACGGTTTCCTTGTTCAGACATATGCTCCGTCTAGGGATTGTTGCTAAACATTTTCGTGAACATTTTGTTAAATGAAGAACTGCATCAACATCAAGTCCATTGTCTTTGTTCGGTAATGGAACATCAACCGTTGCTGAGACTTCTTTGTTCTATAATCAAATATGTGTAAAATAATTGGCTTAATGATGGTACTGGTAACTTACATCTGAAGATCCAAGTAGCTCCATAAACGTCCAGCTGGAAACATTGCCGAACGTCGGCCTCATCTCATTCACCCAAAACTTACTGAACAACTTATCATCACGTTGAGAATTATTCAGTTTAACGGAGAAAGTTTTCGATTCAGCTGATAGTATTTTTAAAGATTCTTTGCCTTTTTCAAGTTTAATCATACAATCTGCGTTTTTGTCTTGGACTGAGCAATCGAAAGAATAGAGGCCGGATGCAGGGAAAAAATACTTTGTCGGTGTGAGCTGACGAACCGAAGTTGAAAAATGCCCTAATTATAGACAGAAAAAATAACTTGTTAGATAATTGTAGGTATGCTAATTGTTAAACTTTTAGCTTGATAATGTCTGATCACCATGGTCTGCCTAATCACACCAGTTTTGCCTGCCACCATCTTCTGTGTTTATTGTGCAACGAAAAAATGACAAAAATTAAAAGAATTAGTGCCTCGCCTCAAGAAGGTGAAATCAGAAAATACATCTGACACAAGCAAACAGACTGACAAGGATGTGAGGAAATGATCAAGCCCGGAAAAAACAACTATTTTAAAAAACAACATACCTTTGTTGAACATTTTTTTCAAATTTCGAACATCATTGTTGACCCTGGCTTTGTACAATGGGAGATCACCAGGTCCAAGGTTGTACTGATATGAATCAGTACCATTTCCAGGTGTAACAATATAAATTGTATAGTTTCTGGTTCTCAAGATAGCAGAATTTTCTTCTTTAACCGTTTGAGGCCCCTTATCCTGAAAACTCAAAATACTCAAATGGCAATCTTCTGAATTAAGAAACAATTATTAACAAATTAGACAACACAATATTTACATTATATAACAAATTATACAAGGATACTTGGAAGATAATTTTTCTCATTTATTAAAAACCAAAACAAATTTATGGAAGGATAAATTATTTAAATTTTACTTCTTAAGCAAGCAATTTCTTCCTTATAAAACATTTGAACTAAATCAATATTAAAAAATAAATATTATATAAATGGGATATATTTTATCCATACATAGGGAATAAAATCTTCCGGCGATCTTGTGCAAATTAGTCCACAAGCTTCGACTCTCATCTGTACCGGAATGGTTGCATTGAGTACCCGGTCACAGGGGATAGTTTGAGCTATTCTTAAGTCGATTTCTCCTAAAAGTACATCTTGGCTGAATTTTAAATATCATTAACGCATTCGCGAAGTGTACCTTGTATACTGTCGAGTTCCATGACAGTGCTGTTCGGGTAGGATATCGTTATCCTCCCGACTGGAACAAGCAGTAAAAGGAGGGATGCCGCACCACCAAGCCCGCTAAATAGAGAGAGGAGTATCTAAAAAAATTAACAAAATCAAATTAAACAAAAATTTACAAAATTCACAATGCTAAGGTGGAAAATTCTTTGGTCAAACCAAGTGGCCGAAATATAAAAATCACTTAATTACAGTCCAACAGTATAATGTATGCATGGAATGAATTTTAACTAAAACAAACCATATTCATTCTATTTTTTTTTCTCAAATGGCTTAGATTTTGTTTATGTAACTACTACAAACAGTAAATAAAATACCCTCTTTTTATTTTATAAAAAACAAAAAGATTATAATAAAATATTTGTTATTTTTCTAATTAACTAGCCATAAATATTATAACAATTATTAGGAGGAGCTTAAATATCTAATAAATTGTTTGAACCCAAGGAGGTGGGTGCATAACTGATCTGTACATCGAATTAAATTAGTTATACCCAATGCCTTGGCTGTTTCCTCTTATATCTATCTTCCTATGCACTTCCTTACATCTCTTCACTTCCAGATCCTCCGTAAGGTCCCATCAACTTCATTTTTGCTCTTCTGACCTCTAACACCCCATAACACAGAAATACTGGGTTTAGTTGTGCCTTCCTCATCTGTACCTCCAACATGTGGAATTCCCTTCCTCACTCTAGCTGCTAAGCCCCATTGCTTTCCACCTTGAAGTCCCATTGCTTTAACTCTTGTCCTTACAGCTAGTCCCTTTTTAGTTTAATTTTAATTGCAGAAAAATTTTTATACAGCCTTATCAAGACTGAATCCTTGTAAATGTGTTGTAATCATATTTAATTAATCAAGGGGACTTCACGTCCCTGGATAATGTTATTTTGTGTGGTGGTTAGTGACCGTTAGCCAATTTTTATTTGGAGATCATGAGATGAGGTCTGGTGTGACGTAGGTTTTAGAAAAACATTTTCTTTATTGTGTCAATTTTTCGATCTTTATTGAGATCATCTTCAGGGCCTGGGATTTATAAACATTGTTTAAATTTTACAAATACACGAAGGATGGTGGAAAAAGAATTTATACAATGCTAGAAAATTTTAGATAAAAAATGAATTTGTATAATGCTAGAAAAGGTTAGATAAAAAAATGAATTTATACAATGCTAGAAAATGTTAGATAAAAAAATGCATTTATACGTTAGAAAATGTTAGATAAAAAAACGAATTTATACAATGCTAGAAAATTTTACTTAAAAAAATGAATTTATACAATGCTAGAAAATTTTAGACATTAAAAAATGAATTTATACAACGCTAGAAAATGTTAGATAAAAAAATGAATTTATACAATAATAGAAAATTTTAGACTAAAAAAAAAAAAAATAAATAAAAATGAATTTATACAACGCTAGAAAAATCATTTTTATTTTTTATTTTATTTTATTTTTTTTAGTGTAAAAGTTTTTAGCCTTGTATAAATTCACTTTTCTATCTAACATTTTCTAGCATTGTATAAATTCTTTTTTTCCACATCCTACATGTATTTGTAAAATTTAAACAATGTTTATAAATCCCACACTGTGAAAATGATCTCAATAAAGATCGAAATGTTGGCATGATAAAGAAAATGTTTTTCTAAAACCTACGTCACACCAGACCACATCTCACGATTTCTGAATAATAATGTTTATTTTTCATTTCAATATTCTTATGTTTTTAGCTGTTTTCTTTTATCTTCATTTCAAATTTATTTATAGAATTAGATTGTTTAAATATATTAATATTAAAATTACTCAAGCTATATTTTTTAATCTTGTTCTAAGGGATCATCAACGTGTTCACGTCGTGAAGAAATTTATTCAAAATTATAATCATGAAATAATATTTTGCCTTGTGTGTTGAAAAAAATTTACACATTTTGAACAACACAAATACATGCATGCATACAAAAGTGTATATCTATGGGAAAAAGCAATAATACCGCAGATATTTATTTTATGCCCTTACTAAAACCTCAACTTTATATGATTTTTAATAAGTTCTGAAGAATTCGGATGTTTCAAACTGCAGTTGTCACCAACGGCACTCCCAAACCGTCGACAATGGCCGTTCCATTGTGGAAAGGGACAAAACTCTTAGTTGTCGCATTTGTGACACTATGAATGGCTCCACTCCCATCGACATCTCTTCTTTTCATACGTTACATTTAATTAATTTCCCTATATTTTGTACTCTCCCAGTGAGTGCTCTCAATTTTTTTTAAATAAATTATTTTTCTCATTATTGAACTGCAATGCGATTGGAATTGAACTGAGTTTATACACGGAAGCTGTAAAGTCAAATATTAATAGTTTACTAATTAGTAGAAAAAAACCTAAATTTATCTGTATTAAATTAATTGTTTGTAAGAAAAACCTTTATTTAAATACATTTCTATAAAAATTTTAGCCATAGCATTTTACAATTTTTAATTCGTTATTCGTTTATATATCGATACATTTGTCGAACTTTTCTTTTTATAAAATGTACATATATGTATACAGGAAATTTGAGAAATTTTAGTATTTTACAGTTAAGAGAAAGCAAAAGCACCAATCATAAGTCAAATCATGTTAAAACAAACATTCAGCCGTTTCACTTTCCGAACATCGATCCGGTTCATTGGATCCCGTGGTGCTCAATGATTGAGGCCCGTGATGTGATTTCTCTTTCGGCCAATGGTTTTTAACCATAACAGTGCCATTAAATTGAAAAAATACTCACCTTAAAATTGCCAATTCTATCGGCGACCATGCCTGCGATGGGTGGCATAACGATCGCTACGATCGGCGTTACGGCAGCCATTATCGCTGTCTCTTCTATGTTGATGCCAAGTTCTCTCATATGTATGGTCAAGTACGGGTATAAGACGTACATAGCTTGAATAAATACAAAAAAAATTCGATTAGAAATATATTTTCCTTTTTTTTTAAATTAGCTAGTTGCATGTAATCGTGTAAATATCCATCGATGGATGTTCTGCTAAAGATCATCAGCAAGTACCACTTATAATTAACTTATAATTATTTTGGTTGAAAAAATTTCTTACTCTAGTTTTCAAGTCTTTCTATGTTTTTCCGTTAAGGAGGTTGCTTATGATCTGGAGTCTGAAAAAGCAAGGTCAGCTACTGTTTCCAGGCGTCGTAGTTTCATCTTTCCCTAACTTAGATAAATTAGTAAATGTACTTCGTCTTTGAAGCTGGGTTTTACAGTTGACAAATGTTTTTATACATCGACCTCAATATGGTCTCGCAGAGCTTCGCTTTTTACTTCAAATAATCGCCCTGAACCTCCCTTTACAAGTTCGTGTCAATTTATGTACCTCCGTAGTTTCAACACGTCTGTGAAATTCCTTCTCCAATAATTTCTCAACATTAACAAAATTAAGAGTTTCAAGGTCAATAGATTTCGCCAAATTTCATTTTATCCTTCTTGCACTTCTGCTAGTTATGCCAGAGAAAAGTATGCAATTCCCACAGAAGTAGGGAGGAAGTTCATAAAGACAGTACAGTGTACCTATAGGTTTCACTGAAAATAAGGTATTTCAAGTCGTTTTCTAAGAGATTTTGAACTATTTAAAAACAAATCTCGTCATGTATAAAGACTAAGCAGAGAAGTTTCTGTTGAGCAGTTATAACTGTGTGGATTGATTTGTTGAAGTCTGCGAAGTGATGAACAAGCAGTGCCAAGATTTAATCAAGCTATACTTACGATTGTAAAACATGTCTTTAATCATAAGGCAAACATTTCTGAAAGTGTTTACTTGTCACAGGTGAAATTCGCGTAAGTGGAAGGCATCCGTGCCTGCTTATAACCAGGATCAATGGAAATAGTGGTAAGACAAAATTTTGTAATGACCTGTTGACTGACGGCAAAGTTTATTTGTCTCTCCCTGCTTATAACCCTTAACAACGCTAAATATGACGAAATGCCGAAACCAGCATGGCAGTAGTCGAAAATGATTGCAGACATCATCTATACTATTTTTTTTTTTTTTTTTTTTTTTTTTTTTTTTTTTTTTTTTTTTTTTTTTTTTTTTTTTTTTTTTTTTTTTTTTTATTACCATCTGTATATGTTTATACATTTTGTAATTTTGTGACTTATATACACAGCACAGTTCATTTTGTCTTGAGGGGAGAGTGCAGCCATCGCTGCTCTCCCATTAATACTATTATTATTACTATTATACTATTAATAGAAAAATAGTTATCTTGTACTAGTAATTGATGATATATTTAACACAAAACACAATTAGAAAAACAAAACTAAAAGGTGTAGTTTGATTGTTTTCGATCTTGGTCGGCTTATTATCGCTGTTTCTGTTTGCAACGTTCATTTCAGCTTTCCGCGATCAACTATATGTCAAAGAAGGACCCGTACTTCCGACAACTGCCTTTCTGGTCCTTTTCTCCCTTTATGGCCGGGCCAGGTCAGAGTAGAGGAAATTTTTGTGTTTAGAAATTTGTTTTTTAATTCCGAGTAAATTTAAATTGCAGTAACGGCCAGTTATTGAGGCTTACTCCATGAATTTTCATCCAGATGGACTCGATGGGCTAATGAACCTTTCGAAATGCAATCCGTTGCGGTGCCGGTGGTCTCAATACCTCATAAGTACTTCCGTTTTCTCTGCAAGATCCTTTTGTTATGCGTCTCTCGTATGCCCAGCACGTACCCCGCATTCGAATCGGTTTCAACGGGACGGTAAATTTAACAATTTCCTGTCTCTCTTTTGGCAGATGCCATTTGATTTTAGCCAGGCCGGTTAATCGCTGTGGAAAATTTTACCATTTTCTTATCAAATGTCTTCAGCCTGGGCTAAAATATAAAATCGAATGGGAAACTTGTTTTCAGATTGTGGAAAAATTCCAACTCAAAATGTAGATGGATGTTTGCTGATAGGACATTACAATTAGCTGATTGATGGCCGGCAGAATTTTTTTTACACCTCTGATAACGTAATTGTTCTGACTGAAATGCATTTGGCCTTCTTCATATCCGTCGTGAACCAGTGTTTGTTTCTGGTATCTTGGTTCCGAGCTATTTCGCAAATTATAACCCAGTCCCACGTTCACACACATCAGTGAAAAACGATTATCTTTAAAATAAACTACAAGAAGAAAACAAATTTGCATAATTAATCTTTCTTTAATATAACGTACAGTGTCCGACTGTACATGTATGAATTCACGGTTCTCGTGGTTTTCCCATGCTAACCTTAATTTTTCAAATCCTAATCCAAAGCCACTTTACACAGCGGTCTGGAAATAAGCAGGATGGGTAAAATGAATCTACTTTTCCATTACATATTTGAATTCCTCCTGTCCTGTTTTGCTCGAAGATAGGATTTACGATTATTAGTTAAGTTTAATTGCCACAGCCCGTTCTGGATATATCACAAGCGTTTCTGCATTTCGCCACCTACAATTGTTGTCAGGGGTATAAGATGGAAGAGGGAAAGAATCAATTTTTCATTTATACGAATTTTGTATGGATCAAATAACAACCTGAGAGAAATATTTGCCTTTTTGCTAAATGACAGGTTTTTCTATTCTCCCAGACCACACTGAGTCAGGCACATTACTGCATTTCCATTTCGTCATCAAAAGTGGTTAGTTAGGGTTAAAAGTAGGGTGAGGGGAAGAATCGATTTAGCATTTATACGAATTTTGTGTGGATCAAATAACAACCTGGGTGAAATGTTTACCTTTATGCCAAATGACAGGTTTTCTATTGTCCCAGGACACCCCGGGCCAGTCAAAAACGTTTCTGCATTTCGCCACCTACAATGGTTGTCAGGGATATAAGATGGGCGAGGGAAAGGATCAATTTTTCGTTTATACAAATTTTGTGTGGATCCAAGAACAACCCGAGAGAAATATTACCTCTTTGCTAAATGAGGGTTTTTTCTATTGTCCCAGATCACCCTGGGTCAGAAAAGTTTATGCATTTCATCATCTAAAGTAGTTAGTCAGGGTTAAAAGTCGGGTGAGGGGAAAGTAGATTACATATTTACGGGGTATTCACTAAGTTTAATTTTTCAAACTCTAATCCAAAGCCGCTTTACACAGGATTTTCACTTTTCCCATTTAAGTTCCTTGCAAAGCTTCCCGGCATAATGCTAATTTCCTGTTCAATGGCAAATAGCCAAGGTTAAATCCCCTATTTTGCTTGCCAAATAATGGCAAATTTATTGTGTATAATTATTAATATTTAATGAAAATACTAAGTGTACAGATGAACGGAGAAAAAGATTAACTAATTTTACAAACTTTAGAATTAATACTAATTTCTGCTCAATTAAAAAATTGCGATAAAAATAAATAAAATGTGAGTTGTTTCGTATTTATTACGGTCAGTCAAGTAAGCCCAGGTAGGATTTTTTATTATTATTTATTTTATTTTATTTTTTTACAAATGCATACTTCGACGGATCAAGTAAAACATTTACTATTTGCATGTAAACAATATAAAAAATAGCGAGGACGCTTAATCCAGTGATGGTAGCAGTTAGTATATCCATATGTCCATGGTCTCAATATGATCCAAGAGGTGAGGTTGTCGAGGGGTCACCGACGCTTAAGTCTTCTGTTAGGATTATTTGATAATTTGGTGGATAATCGGTTTTTGTCGCAAGGGTTCGAATGATGGGGTAGTTTGGAATGGAAAGTTTTGTAGCGAGATTGGGCTAGTTGAGTGACAAGAGGTACATTTAGGTCGGTATGAATGGTATGATTGGAAACATTGACTATTGGTGTGAGGAATTTAGATTGAAGGGATTGGAATCGTTTGAGGTCGGAACACTCTGCAGTCCCGTGAAGTTCAAGTCCATATGTCCAAATGATAGTTAGAACCATGGATCGTCTGTCGAGTAGTCGTTTTAGCATGAAAATTCGTATTTTACAGCGCTGAAGTCGTGTATGGGGTTCCACGCCAGTCGTTTCCAGGTAACATCCAAGGTATCGTACACGGGATGGGAACGTTGTTGAGGTAAACTGGTGGTCTTCTTGTTTAGAGTGAATATTATATTTGTTTATTTGGTTTTGTTGATTTTGATTCTTCACTGTCGGAGCCAGCATTCTAGGATATGTAAGTGACTTTGGAGATTACGGGAAGCTGTGACAGGATCTTTATCAGGAGAAAGTATTGCGTATGAAAGATCATCGGCAAAGGTGAGGGTGAGGTTGCGTAGGTAGGCCGGAGGTATAAATTGAGTAAAGGAAAGGAGCGAGCACGCTGCCCTGTGGGACATCTTCTACAATAGGATGGACAATGAAGTTCTGGACACTTGGAAGTAAAGACCTTTAAGATAGAGTTTTAGGTTTAGGTAATAGGTTTCCCGGTAGGATGTTCTTTTGCTTCCACAACAGCTCAGAGTGAGGTAGGATTTGATAAATGAAAATATAATCGAAAAAATTTAGTCTAAAAGCTGCAAATCAACTATTTCTTTGCATTGTATGGTGGCAATTTTCAATAGGAGTGTCATCAGAAATACTACCTACTAAATACTACTGCTAAAAAAAAATCTCGTTTCCTTACAACTGATTACGTTCTGCAGTGGCAGAAGAAAGTTAAATATCAACTTTCAATTGTCGAGGATGAATGTGTGAATTAATTCGGGATAATTGTAAACATTTGTATTGCCAAGGGGATATGAGCAGGGTTAAAACACGATCGGAATTTCTTCTCCGCTCGTACGAACAGTTCCATATTCAATAGCAGAGAATATTCTTTAATTGTAAATGGCGTATGTGTAAACACGCAGGGTAATTTCTCGACCCACGGTGAGAAATTTCTTTTCTTGACTCTTCGCAATAATGAAATATGAAAGTAGGCTAGCGAAAAGTTAGTTTTTTAGGGCGAACAATGTTTTATTACTTCA